TGGGAGACGAGCCCAAAGTCATCCTGTCTGTAGTTGCACACAATATTTTGGAGATTTCCATGACTTAACCAGTGTTACGGCACGCGATCAGTCAAAATATAGTCAATTCACTTCACAGTGTATTCTGTGAAGTGCTTTGAGACGTCTCGAAAACGTGATAAGGTGCCAAATCAAATGCGGGGATTTTTATTATTATTTTGAGCAGAGAATGCCAGCTAAAGAAAAGTTTCAAAAATCCTCCGAGCTGAGGATTCCTGTTGCCATCACAAATCAGCACGTGCATAGTAATTACTAAACAAGATTATCCTAAGTGTGAAGCTCTTTATTTCGTTGCTATGAAATGATTTTTTGAAAATGCAATGTAGAACTACATTCAAAGCATTTGCTGCTTCAAAAGCATGAGTTAGTCCATTACAGATTTTGGTAAGGCGCAATAGTTACGGCAACAGGCTGACTTGATTGCTCAAGTTATTACTGACTGTTAAACACAAATCACAAATCACAAATTTACATTTACGTAGGGGAAAAATGACCAAAAGCACGGTCAAAGAAGTAGGTCTTGAGACAGTCATTTAATGAGGTAGAGGGAATAATAACAAGAACTTGCATTTATATAGCACCCTTCATATGAGGTAGCATCCCGGAACGATAATGGTGGGACCGCAGGATGGGCTTCCAAAGAATGGGGGGCAAAAAGTCTGAAATATTTTGAAACGGGGGGAGGGGGGAGGGAGAGGAACGCAAGGAATGCCAGAAATCACAAGACGTTATGCCTCTTGTGCTAAGGTAAGGCAAAGGGCTTCAGACAAGTTCATGTGGTTCGGATCCTGCCTCACACTCTCAAAGAATGGCGTCATATCAGCACACAAACAATAGAAGTTGATAATAATAATAATCCTCGCATTTGATATAGAGCTTTTTCAGGTTGTTGTTAATGTTTTGACTCCTCCTTCCTATAAACATGTCCAGGCCTCTCTAATTAAATGTGTGCAATATTTAAGTGCTTCCGGCAAACGTGCCCCAAACTCACACCCGACACTTTATCCTCAAAGCAATCTGCTTTCTTTAATATTACAATGAAATAACATATTGAGAGATTGCCCGTTCCACTTATAATTGTGGTGCTCTGTAGAGAACATTTGTCATCACAAATATAATTGTTCTGCAGTCATATTGTCAAATAGTTGATCAAGGATACCATGTTAACAAAGTCCTCCCCCTTCCGTGAGTGTCAAAACCAGTTGTTTAAAGCACGTTTGGAACTAAAGTTAATTAACACACAGCGATGTTCAACAGCAATGTTCAACCAACAGCCATGAAGTAAATGATCAATTTTATCTGGGAAAAAATTGACCAGGAAACACACAGGGAGAAATTTCCCTCTCTTTTTAAATAGTACCGTGGGATCTTTGTCATCCTCATGAACGGGAAAATGGACCTTGGTTTGACGAAGGATGGCACCTTCGACAATGCACACCCTCAGCACTGCACTGGGGTGTCATCCGGGACTACATGAGTTTAAAGACCTGATGTGGAGCTTGAACCCACAAACTTCCGACTCAGTGACAAGCATACAACCAACTGAGCCAGGCCATTCTGCCCAGCAGCCTTTCAGACAGCAATGGGGGTTTGGTGGACATAATGGGAAATAGCTACACACTCAACATGTTCCCATCTGACTTGTTCAACATTATCTCCTGGAATACAACATGACGGGATAAATTGCAAAATGAAATCAGTTCAGACTGATAGATAGGGTGGATAGCAATGTGCTGAGTGCTTCGGATCCAGTGCAGTGAACGTGCTCACAATAAGGCCGAGGAGAATGAAACATAAAAAAGAAATACATCTACAGCTGACTCCGCAAATACTTCAGAAAGTTTCTCAAACCGGCTTCGAAAATGACAGATATTTAAAATTCTGACAAGTAATTACTTTTTTAATTAAAATTACAATTACAGTTTTAATATATTTGAATTGCCTTATGTCCTGGGATGACTTTAGCCACGCCACGCACAGCTATGTTATAATTAGATGTCCAACGCACACCATTATCTAGCTGTGCAACTTGTATATAAAAGTGTCAGTATCATCATTTTAGCAATAAACTCTAAAATGTAAACTGAAAGTAATTATATTTTGAACGCGATAGAAACCTATTAGCTATCAGAATTTTAAACAGTGTGCTATTACAATTGCATTTTGTAGAGTAATTAATTACCAATTACTGCATCGCACCTTAATGTTTTATGAAAGTTTATAATGCAAGTAGCACAACATCCAATTCGAGTGCGGCAGATAGCTGTGAAAAAATCGGATGGATGAAGTACATTTCTACTGTTTTTTGTTAAACATACTATATTTAAAACAGAGTAATATTGGGAGTATAAATTATTTTAACACCAGGAAAACCAGCGCCTGTTTAAATTTATGACCATTGCGATTGAAACGGTGTAATTAAGCGATTATGCTGAAAAAGGAGTTTTGTTGCCAAATTATAGTTTGGAAATTACATGAGGAGATATAACTGTAAGAGCAATCAATTGAAATAGCAGACCAAATAATAAACACAAGTTGGCAAAATGTATTAAATTCTAAAAATATTGTTGAAGATATCTGTGGGCGCAGGTACGTGCATATATAAATGTATCTGAAAATACTTTCAATGTGCAACCTGCCTATGTGAGATGGATGGGGAGGATAATGCTTACAGATTCTAATAATTACACTTAACTTATGACTTTGCAGATGTCATATAGTTGTTTTGGGAAAAAAACATATTTGTACAAGTACGTTTAAATTCAAAATATATTAGAATTAGAATGGGAGAAATGTTCTTGATACATTTCCTAAAATGTGCTCCTGTAATCCTTAAACCATTGGGCTCATTTTGAAATGGTGTCCTGTTCACAATTTATATCCACAATTTGATTGACAACATCTCAAGCATTTATCCACTTTAATTTAGACATTTATCTTCAGGATTAATTTTATGACTTAGAAAACGTAATTAAAAAGTAACGCAATGGGTTATTTTTTCATTTAGCTTGTCGTATAGTTGAGTGAATTAATTGTAAAGGAGAGAACAACAAGAACAAAATTGCATTTGTGCAGCACCTTTCACGTTGGGAGGATGTCCCAAGGCGCTGGACATTCGGTGTTTCGGACCTGAGCTGGGTTTCGGGATGGAGGAGGGTGAAGGGCAGGGGTGGGGGAAGGAAGGTGACCGAAGGCACGGTTGAAAAGGAGGGTCTTGAGACAGGTTTTAAGGAGGCAAGGGAGTGGGCGAGGTGAAGGGACCGTGGGATGGAGTTCCAGAGGGTGGGGGCAGAGTGGCAGAAGGCCCACCCGCCAATGGTGGGCTGGGAGAGGCGGGGGACGTGAAGCAGGCCAGAGCACGCTGAGAGGAGGGAGCGGGCAGGTTGGTAGAAGATGACATAGCCCAATTAATTGGAATCGAACTATGCTTAACGCTGGCTTATTATGCAAAATTATACACAATTTATATCTGAATATCCACACATAATAATAAGGCACTCACCAATATAGAAAAACAGACAGAATGAGACGTATATAATGAGGTAGACTCACAGAAGGCAACACATCTAAAGAACTTTAAAAAGTCACAGACATCATTGGGAGTGACAAGATTGCAGAAGTTATCTGGAACCATACTTATTTATTTGTTAATTGTCTCCTCTCCTGCCTGTACCTTGCTGATGTGCACTTTACTGGCACTGGAAGTCCTTTGGTACCTTGCCAAGTTGCCGTTCTTCATAATTGAGTCTGGAAAGTGAGTGTTGTCAGGCAAGTCAACAATAGAGGGCATCGCAGCTGCAAATATCACCACACAGATGCTCACTCACTTGGAAGGGATCCAAAGGTGAGAACAAAGTGTAGTGACTGCATATTTTGCTGTATTTTGTTGTCCTGCCTTGTGCATTCCAAAACCTCCCTCAAGTGAAGGGCGCTGCATAGATGCGAGCTATTCTGGAGTGCAGCTGAAGAGTGAGATGATGCACAGGGGAGGGAGGGGGTGAATTTATTTGGCAGAGAGAGAAAAGGGGCCTGACTGAGAGCACAGTATAGGTGGGATGCATGCAACTCTCTAGTCTGGTTTGGGTACTCTTAAACATAGTGATGTGTCAACCACATGGGCTGACCCCAAAATAAGGGGGTGGTGGGGTGCGGGCGGGGTGGTGGGGGGGGCAGTAGGTTGATGCAGGCACCGTCTCCCTCTCTCCACCCTCCCATAGGGTGGTCCTAGCTGAACAAGCAGTGGGAAAGCTTGCCAGACAGTAAGAGATACCAATGGCAAGCTATTTGGTCTTGGCTGGTCAGACTCGAGCAGTTGCCCCAACGCAAACTCTGGGGTCCCCCGAGCCTTGGCTCTGGCCAACCTGCGGCTAACACTTTCCGGAATTAGGCAAACGGGATGCCTCCCCTCCACGCGCACACAGAGAGCGAGTGCGAGAGAGAGTGAAAGAGTACTCATTCCGTTCCACCAGTCCATCGCCGGGAATTTCCGCCCGTGGGGCGGGGGAGCGCGCGGGATTCTCAGCTCGGTTTGGAGACCCTTTGATCGGTGGGGAGGGGTGGGGGGGGGGTGGATGGGGGTGGGTGATGGCTTGCCGCACGCGACCAAGAAAGAGAGGGAGGGAGAGAAAGAGAGAGAGAGAGAGAGAGAGAGGAAGAAAGAGAGAGAGAGAGAGAAAGAGTGGGGGGAATGTGGGAATGGGGATGCGTCAAGGTCTGAGCACGCAGGCGCTGTTCCCTATCGAGTTGCAAAGCAGTAGCAGCAGTGTTGGTGGTGGTGGTGGTGCTGCTGCTGATGATGATGGTGATGATGATGATGATGATGTCCCAACAGCGAGAGCAGCCGCCGCGGCTCCAGCCTCAGCCTCAGCCTCAGCACCAGCGCTGTCTGCCATGATCCGGTGGCCATCCATCACTGACCGTCTGCCCGCGTCCCCCCACACCCGGCGCTGTGCAACCCCACGATGCCCGGTGGAAAAAGAGGGCTGGTGGCACCGCAGAACACTTTTTTGGAGAATATTGTCCGGCGATCAAGCGGTGAGTCCAGGTCCCAGATCCAGGGTCCCAGGTCCCAGGTCCCAGGTCCAGGGTCCCAGATCCAGGGTCCCAGGTCCCAGTCCCAGGTCCCAGGTCCAGGTCCCAGTCCCAGGTCCAGGGTCCCAGGTCCCAGGGTCCCAGGTCCAGGGTCCCAGGTCCCAGGTCCAGGGTCCCAGGTCCAGGGTCCCAGGTCCAGGGTCCCAGTTCCAGGTCCCAGGTCCCAGGGTCCCAGTCCCAGGTCCAGGGTCCCAGGTCCCAGTCCCAGGTCCAGGGTCCCAGTCCCAGGTCCAGGGTCCCAGTCCCAGGTCCAGGTCCAGCACTTTTTCCTGTGCATTCAGTTCAATCCGAGAGCCCGTGCGTGCACTTTACTTGTGTTATTCTCTGGGGTGTGTACGGGGTGTGTAGCAGCTCTGCTACTGTAAGGCTAAGTCTGTGATGTTGCATTAATTACCTTTGCAAAGTCCTGTTAGAATAGGACCTGGTGTGTGTGTGTGTGTGTGTGTGTGTCCCACCCCACCCCGGGTCTGTGGATCATAATTTAGTGCTGATCTCTGGTTTCTCATCTCGTTTTAGATGGGTTATTTTTTTGGGGGGTGGGTGGGGGAGGGAGGGGGGTAGTTGGTGGGAGAGATGGTCCAACACATCTTCTTTTGCAAAGGAGTTAACACCGTTAGAAAAGATGCGCTCGTTAAGTCCAAGCGCCCGACTGTGATGTGCCCCAAGTCGTTCGGGTTTAACCCTCTGTGGGGGAAAGAATATGTGTGAGAGAGAGAGAGAGAGAGAGAGTTCTTTTATCAAAGTGTGTAAGTGGATGAAGTGAGATGTTAAACTCCCTCTCCCCCCCCACACACACACGGTTAAAGCTGCAGGTGGTAAATATAATGTGATCCAAACTGACCTATATATATCGTTACAGTATATATTATTATACTGTACCACTTGTGTTTCGTTGTGTTGTGTTGTGCATTGCATTGCATGTCTTTAAGTTTCAACTGATCGCAGGAACAAGTCAGAGAGGAGGGATTTAACACAGCAGAGCGTGGAGGTGTTAGATATCACTGCATGTCAATTCTAATCGATATATACATATAGATACATACATACAACATACATACATATACATACATGCAGTTTTGCACAGCGCTTGTCAGTCAGTAAAGGTGATGCTGCTTCAAGGAAGATGCTGAACACTTAATGTCTCGGAAGTGCCTTTTGCTCAGTGGGTAGAAAGATGACACAGATTCAGCACTGAGTGTTTTGTTGCGAACTCTTTCACTGAGGACTTGTTCTCCTCTGGTCAGGAACCAGCAAATGAGACATTGGGATGAGATTGGGATTCATTACTGTCTCACCTTTGCAATATCCCCAGTTACTGGTGTGCTTGCGATTCAAAGGCAGTTCCATATCACACACACACATATATATATATATAACGTATAAAATATATCATATTATATGTTTATATGTAATATGAACATTTCGGATAAAGCAGAGCTCAAAATGACGCTGAGATAACGATAGGATAAGACAGTTATTTTGGTCCTGGGTACAGGTTATGTTGGCAGCAGGTAGAAACTTTATCAACTGTAGCGTACATGCTGTAACCCAAGGTTATCCAAAACTTTTAGTGGTTTGCCCATTTGGTTAGTGTGGGTTTGAGTTCATTTGCAAACCACAGCTGCTTACTTTCGCAGTGGACTGCATTGGATGGATGGATGGGGAGGGGGGTGGGTGGGGGGGTGACTGATTAATAATATTTCATAGGTGCTGCCTTGCTGGGAAACTAACAGATAATGCTTGTGAGAAATAGCAAGAGGAGGCATTGCAAGTCATAAACTGACAACCCCTTAAAATGATATTATATTATTCTGATTGCATGATTCACACCAGGGCTGGGGAGGGAGTCTGGAAGTGTGGGTGGGAGTGTGTGTTTGGGGTGGGGGGGGGGGTTGAAGGGAACAAGGGAAACAGGTCATCCTAAATAAGAATGTGTACCGTTATCATTCCTCACCCACTTATTTTTAAGTCCAATATTTCCTCAGCAGTTGGACAGAATTCTGAAGCCAAGATAAACTTGAGCAGGAAGGTTGGCTCTGTTATTGTGGGGGTTATTCTCCAGTCCTGATCGTCCATAATATTATAGTATAATAATAATAATAATAATAATAAGAAGAAGAAGAATCCTTGCACGTTGGCTTAGATGGAACTTAGCCCTAGTTTTGGAGACACACACTCTCCATTGCACTTAACCCTCGATTCCCCAGGAACCAGCACAGCAGTGGTAAAAGATAAAAGTCGACGTCGCATCCGTAAAAACGAAGGCAAATTTTGCATCGAATGCACTCCCAACACAGCAGTAGACAACAGGCAGTTTGCAAAGCGAAGCAAAACCCCCACACACACAGACTCACTGTGCACACTTTATTGCTGCAAGACTCGACTCTGAGACACATCAAGCGTTGAATTGAAAGCTCCCAGACTGAGAGCAATCACAAACCTGATATTGCCAGTTATAAATTGTGCAGTAAATAATTATGGGGGTTGGGGGGGTGGGGGGATGTTCCTGAACGTTGAGGGTGAAATTATAGGCTAGAGAAAAAAAAGGACTGCACACTTTGCACAAGTTATGTGCCACAGTTGAGAGTGTTGGCTGGTTAGGGGAGCAGTTGATTTCAGTGGCTGAAGGTATTTGGAAGCTGATGGAACTGGTGTTCAGGTTCTGATGGGTGTGATGGTTCTTGGCATTTCCCTAACTCTCCCCCCCCTCCCACTCTACCCCCAGGGAGTCCCCCAATTTCCCCCATTACCCAGCTCTGCAATCAGCACAGACCTGCGTCCTGGAGAAGAACAGTACAGTCGAGATTGGACAACCCTACTCTGGAGATATTTTTCCTACCATTATGAGTCGCTGTTACTCCTCACTCACTGGCAATTTTCTCTCCCCCACTCATTCCAGCCGAGCAATCACTCACTCACTCATCCACCCCTCCCCTCTCCCTAACACCTCTGTGGACAAACTGAACCACACAATACTGCAGATTATGGGATTGCTCATCTCGTTTGTGTGACAATCTGCAGATGACATCTCAATAGCACCATGTTAACAGGCACTGCTATTCTATCAGCAAGGCAAGACAGCCTCACTGTAAAGGACTACGTTTGCTTTTCAGCAGCCCCATCAGCTCTGCAATGCTCTGCATCAGTAATATTTCACTTTCCGGGAGGGTAATAAGGCCTTAAAAAAGATGATTTGGTCGATCAATCCATGACTGTTTGTGGGGTCCACTGCTGTGCGCAATTGGCTGGTGCATTTCGCCCACCAAATATACAATCAATTCACTTTACGGTTTAACCTGTGAAGCGCTTTGAGACGTCTCGAAGACGTGATGAGGCACTACATCAAATGCAAGGATTATTATTAGTAGTACTACTGCTGTACAAATGTACTATCATTGGGAACCTGCTGAAGATGGCCCAGGGTTTATTTTATGACTTCACGCTCCTTTAGGGGATGATCCAACTTCTTATTGAGATTGAGGAGGTCAGAGAGAGACCTGAGGTCAGTGTGGGACAGGATGGGACACCTCATGATTGTAGCAGTGCTGTTTTATACTTTTATGCTGTTTTAGATTGTTACATGGGAGAGTGCAAAAAACATGCAAATAAATTATCATGAAATAATTATTATTATTATCAATAACTGATTTTAATTGTCGTTGTTGCTGAGGAGAAAGTCCTCTTGGATCCAGATTTCCTCTCTTTATGTAGGAATTCAGAGCATCTAGAATTTGGCAAATCCTTTAAACAAAGCCTTGATTTTGAATTCAGTCATCTGTAAATTATTTTAAGAGCTACAGAAAAACAGCTTCAAAGTTAAGACTTGAATGGAACAATTTGCCAATTTCTGGAGGCTCTGAAATGCTGCATCAATGGAGTAAATCGAGACCCAAGTGGAATCTCTCCACATATGTTTGCCAACAGATGTTGCGGAGGATGCTAGAAACTGTAATTCAAACTTAGTGTCCAGCTGATGCTTCTAAACCAATTTGGCTGTGCTATTGCTGCTTAAATTATGACTTCATCAGAAACTGGGGACTAGATGACACTCTTTTCCTAGCGCCCTTTACTCTATATATAGAATCCTTTTGCAATGATCAAAATCTTCCAGCTGGCAAAGAAATTCACTGAAGTTTGCTATTTGTAGTTTACCCCCTATCCAGTGGGTATTCCCACAGCAACCGAAGTGTCAGCCTCTCTTTCTCTGTTTTCTTGTGGACTGCCAGTTTAAAAACAATTCAGGCTGGAACTTTTTGGCTGAGCCTTCACCAAACTGATCAAATAAAAATAATAGTGATTGTCCACTTTTAATGGTGGCTCTGAACCATTAAATTAAATTCCAAGACAGGAATTTTCCGAAGTAAGATATCCTAAAATGCCTTTTTTTTGGTCAGTCGCTAAATTCAGGTGCCGTTGAGATATGGCTCAGATATGGCGTTTTGCCCACAAAATTTACAGTCAATTCACTTTACAGTATATTCTGTGAAACACTTTGAGACGTCGCGAAGACGTGATAAGGCGCTATATCAAATACAAGGATTATTATTATCATTCTCAGTCAGTCATTCTTTGTTAGGAAGGCTCATTCCATTTCACACCAAAATTTATCAAGAGGAGTCTCATTATTTTACAAGAATAAAATAGAACAATATATACATCAAGTTGAACAAGGGTAAGGTTCATGCACAAATGCATTTGTTTGAAAATTATTATAGTACTCTGTTTGCTAAGGAAGTGACATTTGGTAGCAGAGTTGCTGTCCTCGAATGCACAATGAAAGGAGTTGCTAGTAATGCTAGAAATCTGAAAATATACATATGTTCATGACACGTTGATCAGCATCTAAAAGAGGGGTTCATGTTTTAAATTTGATGCTTCACCAGAATAGATGAAAAGACAAGTGAAAATCACGACAAAGAGAGAAATAGTTGTTCTGATGAATG